GTACTTTCTTGAATGAATTTCTGTTTGAAAGAGATGCTTTAGAAAGGCATCCAGCCCAGATTGGGGCAAAAAAAGTCAGTGACATACAGCACAGTGTAACCTTTGATATAAGTGGTTAATTATGCTCTGGATATTATGCCTGACCATTTGTCAAAGCTTGTCCAGCTTCAACTTTGCAGCCTTTGGATTGCTTTAATTTTATTTTTTTAAAAAAAATCCCTAGTGAAGGTGTTTTCATCAGTTCTGTGCCCTCTGCTGCAGGTTTGCAGACTGATCCAGTAACCTCTTAGCCTTGTCTTTGCTGAGACTGAGTTCATGCCTTCTTGTTTTTCTTGCTATAAGTTGTGCCTTCCAGCCTTTTAATAAATTTCAGGCTTCTTTTTTGCATCCTTCCCCTCCCTTTTCCCTGATCTCTTTTTGTGTATGGGGGCCAGGGTTTCAATTGGCTTTCTAGAAGTGAGACCAATACAGAGTGATGCTGTGAACTTTTACTCCTGGGGAAGCTCTTTCTTGGCTTTATATAACCAGTTCCAATCAGGTAATGAACACCCATTGTTACAGTGCGACTGTCTCTTCTGATTATTTTCAGTATTCCCAAATATGGTAGAGTTACAGCTTTGCAACAATAATCCAAGATATCAGGACTTTATTATTTTTTCCCTAGATGTAGAGATTTACCTCTGTTGACATCAAGATTCTTACAGTAGATTGATTAGGTTCTAAATAATAATAATAAAGAAAAAGATATTATTTGATTAATTCTATATTCACTTTATTGTTTACCATTTCCACCCCCTAAAAATGTTGTAATTTCTATAGCTGTAACTTCTATAGCTATTTTATCCAATTCGAGGTGGAAGAAGTTCTGGTCCATTCAGCCCAGAAAGGGATTGCTGCAGCCATATGCATGTGTGTTAATTGGCTGATTAAGCTCTTTCTAATTGCTGTTGCTTTTAAAAATGAAGATGGTCCAAACTTAGGGTGAAAATCTGAAGCTTTCTATCCAATAAAAGCAAAGGGTTCTGGAGTGGTCTAGTATTTTAGCTGGATTACAAAAGACAAAAGGGAAAGTGGAATTAAGATTTCTGGGACTTTGGAAAATCCAGTATCAGTTGCTTCCCCACTTCTGTTTGTATGTGAAGGATCTTGACATATGCCTGCCCATTTTTCTTTCTATAGATGCTGTGTTGGCTTTTAGTGTTTTGCCTTTGTCAGATCCTTGGAAGAATTGTAACTTTATTTCTCCCTGTTTATTTAAAGCTAAATTTGTCATCAGCATAAGAACAACGATTAACCAAGATCTATGTTCCATGAATTCATGTTGCTGGACATGAATTCTATTATTCTCCCTTAATTCTTTTTTAATAGAGTCTTCTATCATCTGTTCTGTGATTTTTGTCCCTGATCAATGTGAGGTGGAGAGGCCAGTAATTATTTAGTCATCCCATTTACCCTTGCAAAATTCAGAGTATGGTGTTAAGTTTAATTTGATTTTTCTCAACACCTCCCCGTGCCCCAAATATATGGAAGCAAAATTTAAATCAGTGTTGATGGTGTAGAGTTTGAAACTGGCATGATTTTTTGATGGAACAAAGTGTTCACACTGCAGCATCCGACTTAATTCAGAGTATACAAGGATGTGAAATATCTTTTACAGCTTTTAATTTCAGGAATAGAACTTATTCAGAGCTCTGTTGTACAAATAGTGAATGAATTTAGCTGTCACCCGGTGGCCAGGTGTGGTTTATTGCCCCTGCTTTGTTCATAGGTCAGTTTTGAGCATGGTAACACATAACTTAGACAACTTCTGGTGGGGCTCAGCCAACGAATAAAAATGTGGATCTGGCGAGTTGTAGGCAGTTCAAGCAGCAGGCAGACATAGAAACTGTTCTGGTTTTGCCCTGTTGCAGTTTAAAAAGACAATGTAGTAGATAGTGGCTGTGATCAGATCAACATGACAGGCTGCACATACCAATATGACCTTTTGGAATCTGAGAATTCAATTAAGCCTCCAAATCCATAAATATTGCTTTTTTAATAAAACATTCTCTATTAATTTTCCTTTCGAAAGAGCAGCTGGAGAAGGGGTGCTTTGTTCTCTTTCTTTCTGTACAGGTTTATTTGTTTGACATTGATGTAAATACACTGCATGGATGGCAGAATCGAATCCTCAAGCAGAAAGTCAAAAGTCCTTGTTAGAGATGAATGGGATGTTGCAAACTTCACAGTCACTCATAAATCTTGCTCTGTGTCTATGTGATTTATGTCTAACAAGGTTTTTGACTGATGGCTTAGCATTTCCTGATCAAGTGTTAGGGAACCAAATCATGGAATCCCTTGGTTGGTTAAGACAAGTTCCTGTTTGCTTTGATAGGCAGGGAAATGTCTGGGTTTTCATTTCTTTTAAGTGGATTTTAAAGTTCTAGCTTGCTGTGGCTTTTAATAAGTTCACAGCCTGGCCACAACTTCTAACACTGAAATACAATACTTATTAAAATCCTCCACTAGGACTGTGAGAGCAGAACTACTGGATAACTTGGACTGGCCAGACACAGGGGATAAATTGAGGCTGATGACATTGGGTGAAGGCCAGGAGTTGCAGAACACCATGAGAAGTGAAAACTTCAGGCTGCTCTTTGCGGCACGTAGCTGGTGTGATTTGCAGGCTGGCCCCCACCTAAATCATCTTGCTAAAAAATTAGAAGAGTTTTCATCTTCATGCTGCAGTTAGAAGCCAAATGTTCTGTGCATTGAAGATCTTTCCTACTTTAACTTCCCTCCTGCTTGGCTGTGTATTGTGACTGCTCAGCCATGCTTACACTTCATTACTTCCTTCTGAAGAGTTTGTGTAACTGTTGAAGACAGGGCACTGAAGCAGAAAGAGCTTTGATCTGCCTAGCACATTTTTTGCCATGCTTCAATTTTATAACTTAAAGATGAACTTAGAGAATAGTTATCAAAACCAGCTCTTTTCTTTTAGCTGCTTTCAGAGCTTCTGACTTTTTTAGAGCCTTGCATCTTACCATCCTGCCCTGCCCATCCAGTAATACTATAAATTAACAATTTTATCTTCTTTTTCCGAAGCTGCAGTGTTTTCAAAACTGTTCTGAATATCTAACCACGAACTCATCTTCTGTTTCTCTGTTTCACTTTTTAACCAACAGGGATAATTCATTACATCCCTACCTCAAACCTCTGTTGCCTTATTGTCATCTTGGATCCAAGTACTGTATCACACCCTTTACATTTCCTACTCCTGGATAAAAAGTGACACCAGAGTCATAGAATCTTTTATAAATAGGCTTAATCCATAAAGGAGAACAAAATACTAATTCTTTCTCTTTTTTTGAAAGAAAACTCAATTAATTTTGAGGGTTTAATTACATTTTTGTGGCGATTTTAGGGTTGTTAATTCAAGTAGAGGAGATGAAATGCAAATACACGAATACAAATAGATCTGGTAAATTACTGTTAAAAATTAAGAGTGATTATTTCTACTCTTAACAATAGGCATGCATTTTAGAAGCTTGTGCTCAGGTAAAGTTTTAATTGAGATGTTTTAGGAGTTGCAGTTTCTTTGTGCTGTTGTGGTTTTTTTTCCTAAGCTATCCTGAATTGTTTCCAATTAGGGGCATGATACCATTTACCTAGATATTTATTGCTATGTAATTTGTTTCAACTCAGACACCAGAGTAGTGATGAATTCCTGTTATTACAGGCAACTCTCTTTGATGGGCTTTGACTAGCTAATTATTAAAATGGAACACATTACTAATAGCCTCTGAGTAGGCAGATTTTTCTGCAAGTAAACAGGGACTTGCTGAATGCACCAACAAAAGTTAATTTTTAAGGGGTTTCTTTCCATCTTCCAGACACAAGGAAATATAAAGTGAATGACTTGGAATCTCTTTCTGCTTCTGTACCACAGAGATGCTTAAAGAGCATCAGGTATCAGGCTACTTAGGTCTTAAAGGGTTTCACTGGGGGGGACTCCCCAATGCCTTCCTGAGTGTATTGGGCTAGAGGAAAATCAGTCCTAAACCATGTTGGCAGAACTGTGGGAATTAATATTTTCAATGGTAAAAGCAGGATGTTTAGTTTGGGAGCCAATAAAGGCCAATTTTTGCAATTTTATCAGGATTTTTTCCAGCATGTGTGACCTGCAGCACATGCACTGCAACACATTCATCAATGTTTTATATTTCTGCGTATAAACATATAGAAAATATATTTTCTATATGTGTATATGGCTATATCTCTTTTTATAAATTGTATATATAAAATATGCTTTTGTAGCTGAACAAATCCATACTGCTAACCTGAATGTTTTTAAGAGCTGTGGTATGTAATCAGTCTGGAAAGGCTAGCCAACAACCCACCCACCATCTCCCTGCTGCTGAATGAATCAGTTTCGGGAGGAGTGGAGACTTGTTGCACGTTTCCTTTGGTACCATCAGGGTTTTGTAGCAGCTTGAGTTGGTCAAGTAATGTAAAATAAGCTTTTACCAAATTAGAGACAGTGGCATAGAAGTCACTTAAATACATGAGGACTGGGCATCAAGAAGGCAGAGACAAACTCTTGTCACGTGTGCCCTGTGACAGGATAAGGGGCAATGGATTCAAAATGGAGCTCAGGAAGTTCCACTTCAACATGAGGAAGAACTTCTTTGGTGTGAGGGTGACAGAGCCCTGGGACAGGCTGCCCAGAGAGGTGGTGGAGTCTCCTTCTCTGGAGACTTTCCAGACCTGTCGGGATACCTGAGTGATCTGTCCTAGTTTTGTTCCTGCTCCAGCAGGGGCGTTGGGCTCAATGATCTTCAGAGGTCCCTTCTAACCCCTGACATTCTGTGTTTCTGATTCTTTGTTTCTGTTAATTAGAAACATTGAGATTTTTAATACATTTTCTAATCTTACAGAGCACCTGAAAATCCCAGGCATTCAAGCTAAGTTATAATGCTGTTTTATTTCAAGTGTTGAGTTCCTCTTCCTTCTGTTGGCAGATGCTGCTGACTGAGTATCTGGACATGAAGAATACCCGCGCTGCCTCAGAGCCATCTGCCCAGCTCAGCTACGCCAGCTCCGGGAGGGAATTTGCTGCATTCTTTGCAAAGAAGAAACCACAAAGACCTAAAAACCCTTTGTTCAAGTAAGTGCTGGGACAATGTTAAAGCTGTGCCTGAGCTGGTTTTGGTCCCTTGAGTACTGCAAAACACTGGCTGCTAATTGGAGTTTTCAGAGTGTGAGAGGAGTGGAAGTTTTGAGATGAGGTTTCAATGCCCAAAGCTGAAGCCTGGATAAGGTGTCTGCTATGGATTCTTTGCTGGTTTTTAAAGTGTGGCTCTTTCCAGGGCTCCTCTTGGAGCTAGGATCCCATTATACAAGCTGCTGGAAAGCATGCAGTGATACATTATGCCTGTCTTTGTCCATGGAGAATTCAGAACCTGTTAAAGAGAGCGATAAAGGAGACTGGACAAAGAGAATTAAGATAACTGTGTAATTACTAGATAGGCTAAGCAGTTAATGATATCACTAACTCATTTAATTCAGAATTCAGAGCAGTAAGAATTAAGTGGTTGGGAGGAGAGTGTAAGAGAGAGGATGAGAGGCTGCATGGCCAAGGGAAGGATTTGGGGGAATGAATTTGATGTGGAAGAAAAGGAAGTGAGGAGTTGCTGGTGAGCAGCACTGTTAGGAGAGGTGGTCTCATTATTAAACCTAGATTCAGGGAAGCTCTGGATTTTCATCTCTTGCCATGACTACATTTGCTGGTCATTCTTTTTGGCCTCTTGGGGATATATAGAAAATATATTTTCTATATGTGTATATGGCTATATCTCTTTTTATAAATTGTATATATAAAATATGCTTTTGTAGCTGAACAAATCCATACTGCTAACCTGAATGTTTTTAAGAGCTGTGGTATGTAATCAGTCTGGAAAGGCCAGCCAGCAACCCACCCACCATCTCCCTGCTGCTGAATGAATCAGTTTCGGGAGGAGTGGGGACTTGTTGCACGTTTCCTTTGGTACCATCAGGGTTTTGTAGCAGCTTGAGTTGGTCAAGTAATGTAAAATAAGCTTTTACCAAATTAGAGACAGTGGCATAGAAGTCACTTAAATACATGAGGGCTGGGCATTAAGAAGGCAGAGACAAACTCTTGTCACGTGTGCCCTGTGACAGGATAAGGGGCAATGGATTCAAAATGGAGCTCAGGAAGTTCCACTTCAACATGAGGAAGAACTTCTTTGGTGTGAGGGTGACAGAGCCCTGGGACAGGCTGCCCAGAGAGGTGGTGGAGTCTCCTTCTCTGGAGACTTTCCAGACCTGTCGGGATACCTGAGTGATCTGTCCTAGTTTTGTTCCTGCTCCAGCAGGGGCGTTGGGCTCAATGATCTTCAGAGGTCCCTTCTAACCCCTGACATTCTGTGTTTCTGATTCTTTGTTTCTGTTAATTAGAAACATTGAGATTTTTAATGCATTTTCTAATCTTACAGAGCACCTGAAAATCCCAGGCATTCAAGCTAAGTTATAATGCTGTTTTATTTCAAGTGTTGAGTTCCTCTTCCTTCTGTTGGCAGATGCTGCTGACTGAGTATCTGGACATGAAGAATACCCGCGCTGCCTCAGAGCCATCTGCCCAGCTCAGCTACGCCAGCTCCGGGAGGGAATTTGCTGCATTCTTTGCAAAGAAGAAACCACAAAGACCTAAAAACCCTTTGTTCAAGTAAGTGCTGGGACAATGTTAAAGCTGTGCCTGAGCTGGTTTTGGTCCCTTGAGTACTGCAAAACACTGGCTGCTAATTGGAGTTTTCAGAGTGTGAGAGGAGTGGAAGTTTTGAGATGAGGTTTCAATGCCCAAAGCTGAAGCCTGGATAAGGTGTCTGCTATGGATTCTTTGCTGGTTTTTAAAGTGTGGCTCTTTCCAGGGCTCCTCTTGGAGCTAGGATCCCATTATACAAGCTGCTGGAAAGCATGCAGTGATACATTATGCCTGTCTTTGTCCATGGAGAATTCAGAACCTGTTAAAGAGAGCGATAAAGGAGACTGGACAAAGAGAATTAAGATAACTGTGTAATTACTAGATAGGCTAAGCAGTTAATGCTATCACTAACTCATTTAATTCAGAATTCAGAGCAGTAAGAATTAAGTGGTTGGGAGGAGAGTGTAAGAGAGAGGATGAGAGGCTGCATGGCCAAGGGAAGGATTTGGGGGAATGAATTTGATGTGGAAGAAAAGGAAGTGAGGAGTTGCTGGTGAGCAGCACTGTTAGGAGAGGTGGTCTCATTATTAAACCTAGATTCAGGGAAGCTCTGGATTTTCATCTCTTGCCATGACTACATTTGCTGGTCATTCTTTTTGGCCTCTTGGGGATTTGGGGGGTTACCAAAATGTACTGTTTTGGCAGCAGTTGCTCCAAGTTCAAATATTCCAAGTTCACAGTTTCTCACAGGATGAGCTGTCTGTGTAATCTTCTGTTATTAGAAGGTTAACTGATACCTGGAGGATTTCAGAGGTGCCTTCTGCTCCTGTCCAGTTATGGGTATTTCCCTCCACCTTTTAGGTTTATTTTAACACTCATGGCTGTTTGGGGTGAGAATTACACTCTTTGAATTTGCTCTGACTTGCAAATACATATTGGAGAAAATAGGAGTGCTCACCTTTTCATGTTGTCTCTTCTGGGGTGTAGCTGGACCACTTAAGTTTGAGGAATAAGGATGCTCTGTTTCACCTTCAGCATTTCCAGGCTGTATATTAGTTTGTCAGCAGAGAGTGAAGGTGGGTATAATTGTTTAAAGTGAAGGTGCATAACCTGAGAGGAACAGGATGTCTCTTCCCCACTCATGGACTTGTCACAGTGTCATTGCCAGCACTGCAGTGACAGCAGCACTTATTGGGGTCTCTTATTTGGTTATCTCTCTTCTGTCAGCTGTCACTGCATCGATGAAAATCTCTGCTGAAATGGAATTTCTCAGTCCACTGAGGGATGTACATGTTTGATGGAGTGTTATTCTTATCTTCTCTCCCATCTTCAGTGCTTTTCATGCTGGGCTGCAGGGCTCCTTTTCTTACCTTTCCATTAGTTCCATCCAAATCAGAGGAACCTTCCACTTGTCATCGGAATATCTGCATTTAATTTCTTGCTTCAGAAGTCTCTTAGGGCAGGGCTCCACTTTGTGTTTTGCTCCCAGCTGGATGTAGGTGTTTGTGCAGTGTCCTGTGGTAGCTGGCTGGAATTTAATTTTTTTAATACTGAGCATTTTTGCTGATTGTGTGTTCCAGCAATAGAGGGAAGAATGAGAACTCCTCCATTGCATCCTGCTTTCTGGAAATCAGTAGCTAACACTGAATCATTGTTTCCCTGTCTTTAAAATCAATGTAATTCTCTAGAAAGAACAATTTGAAAAGAAGTCATGATGTCTTTGGTTGTTTAATGGTAGCTTTAAAAAAAGGAAAATTCAGGTAGTCCATTCACAAGCCTGGCTTGTTTCTCTTCCATAAAATGATCCTGCTCTGGCAGAGGAGTTGGACTCGATGATCTCGAGGTCCCTTCCAATCCTGAAAATTCTATGATTCTCTGAGATCCTGCAGCAAAAGCCTGTGCAGGGCTCTGAGAAATAATCTGTATCACCATCTCAAGGAGAACACTGAGGTTTATTCCTGTCTCTTGCCTCAACCTGAAGCTTGTGTTTTTGGTGCCTGGAGAAGACATCTGGGCCATGGCAATAACATTATGCTTAATATCTCACCAGAGGCAGAAGGCAGTACAGCATAAATGTGAGCCAAGAATTTACTGTTCATTTAGTTAAAGTCTAAAGTGTTTGTTGTGTTGTGATAGGTTATTAGTTCATTTGCAATAATACCAACACTCACAGTCCAAAGCAGGGCAGAAGAGCCTCATTAATAGTAACAACCTTAAGACTATTGCAGAAGTTTTACAAAAGCTTGCCCCTTTTTCTCTGGGATGTCACGTGGGTTTCCAGTGTCCCTGAGGGCAGCACTAAGGCTGATGTAGCTTTCCTTAGCAGAAGGGGGAGAGGGCAAGAGATTACAGCAAATCATGGTCTTGAGGTTTTACCCTTGAGGAGCTGGATGTTCATAGAAGATGCTTTTCCTCCAAGTCTTGTGTCCGCTTTGGCTATTTGTAGGTACTTTAATCCCACTGGCTGCTCCTTTCTGCCTAGTCTTCAGTGGCTGAGCTGCCCAGCACCCAGAACACACAAAGGGGCTGATGTTGCTGGGCAGCTCCTGCCCTAGGTGACAGCCCTTGGCCATGCACGGTGACCTCAGCAATGACTTCAGGCAGTTCAGGCATGAGCCCTTGGCCGTAGGACACTTGTGATCACAGAGACACCAGCTCCAGCCATGGCAAGCCCAGAGCAGTTCTTAGTCTTTGCAGCATCAGGTTGGTGCACAGTCTGTGGCCTTTTACTCTCCAGGGCAAAAATCATGATTATGGAGCTACAATAGTTGGAAAATGTCTCCACTTCTCAGACTGGTCGTTGTGGGGTGTTAGAGTTAATTAATAATTGATTACTCCCTAGTTTCCAGGAGAATATTAGTTTTTAATTTGCACGTATATGCCACTTAGGAATTTAGATTGTCAGCTTATGGCTTTGGCTGGATTTTACCAGGTTTTGGGGCCATTCCCACTTAAATGCCTGGGTGCTCCCAGCTGATGGAGCTGAGGATCATCTCTGTGCTTTGTGGGCAGGTCCATGTCCTGGGTGTTGTGGGCAGAGCTGTGTTGATCTGAGGTTGCAGAATGTGGTGCATCAGTGATGGACCTTTATGGGAAAAATGTGTTTTTGTCTGCCTTGGTAACTTTGCTCCAACGTGCAGGGAAGCTCTTCTTGTTTAGAGCTGACTGGTGCTTACAAGATGGATGCTTCTATGGATGGCTAACTGGCTGTATTATAATTTGTGTTAATTACAGGTTTGAGTCCTCGTCCCATGCTATCAGCATGAGTGCCTACCTGCGTGAGCAGAGGAGGGAACTCTACAGCAGAAGTGGAGAACTTCAAGGTGAGGAAACAGATAATGTGCTACTTTGGATAATTCTCTTTTGCAGAAGCTTGAATATCCCATCCATGCTATGTCAGGGTATTCATACCTCTACTGTGCCACACAGGCTGTCTAAATCTCTCCAGTTTTTAACCTGTTTTTTTATTCTTCCTATACTGTGGAGCAGCAGGATTTCTATTTGTTCCTTCTGCATTTTCAGATAAAAGTCCAGATTTTTTTAAATGCTGGTAAAACAATGGGTGGGATGCAAACAAGGTCACCATGACCACTGCTTTTGGATACTTGGAGCTAATGTCTGCTTCCTTATCTGCAGTTTATTTCCTTGCATCTTACCTTGAGTGTGTTACTTAGCCTGGATTGCTATGGGAGCTAAGCTCAGTCTTCTCATATTTGAAACTGCAAGTTTCTGTTGTGTGGACTTAAGTGACCAATTCCTTGTCTTTTGTGCAACATGTTATCTTCAAGTGTTGCAGAGTGTTTGCAAATAGTGATTTTGAAGAGCTGAACTACTCTTGGTGGTTTGTATTGCTTGTGAGAAGTGCTGTGTTTCCACAGAGAAATGTTCCCCTGAGCATGGCATCATGTCATGGCTTGGGTGATTTTTCCTGAATGGTCTAATTCACAACTGTTGGTTTTGGGAGCAAAATCATGGCAAGATCTTAAGGCTATCATGATAATTTAAAGCAGGACTAAATGATTGTATTTAATCTATTTTAGTTTCTTACTGAGCCAATCATAAGAAAATAACACCTACTCTTCAAATATTAGTGATGGACAAGGGTAGAATTTCACCTTGAAATCTTATGCTAATTTTCAGTTGGCTTTTAATTAGGGATGTTGTGTAATCTACAAGAAAATTCTCAGATTACCATGTTCCTTTCCTTCTTTTATAACTTAGTTGTCCTCAGCAACTTGTGTTAAACCACAAGAGTGTGAGAAGAAGTGATGAGATACACTGTGCTCCTCTGCACAAATTGCTTCACTTCAGTGACTCTACAAAGATGATATTAGTATTGATGATTAAGGATGTAATAATGCACTCCGTGGTGACTATTCAAATACTTCTGGATGGGCTGTGAAGGAAGAATCTGAGATAAAGATGTACTGAATTTGACAGTTGGCCATGTGATATGACAGCATATGGGATTGAAAGAGAGACACGTGTCTTTTAAATTGTGGTGTCACTGTTTACACACATTTGGAAGCTGTTCAGCTTACAGCTCTTTACCTTGTCTATCTCGGGTTCTCACCTTCAAAATCTGTCACATGCTCTTGTGCCCAGGGTGAAAGAAGTTACGTGCTTCAGTAAAGTGTAAACTGTTACATTGCACTGTGGTTTTCATAGTCATTGAATGAGTTGGGACCTCTTAAGGTCATCAAGCCCCACCTCCCAGCAGCGCAACTAGATCAGGTTATCAAGCCTGACCTTGAATGTCTCCAGGAATGGGGCCTCCACCACCTCTCTGGTCAACCTGTGCCAGTGATCCACCACCCTCATTGTAAAGAACTTCTTCCAAATGTCTAATCTAAATCTCTGCTGATCCAGTTTAAGACCATTGCCCCTCGTCCTATTGCTACACCTCCTTGTAAATGTTCCCTCCCCAGCTTTTCTGTAGCCCCTTCAGGCACTGGAAGGTGCACTGATGTCTTGTGGAGCCACGTCCTCTCCAGGATAGACATCCCCAACTTTCCCAGCCTGTCTTCTCAGCTGAGCTGCTCCTATTTTGTTGTACAAGTGGGCAGTAGGATTTAAAGAAGGACTTTTCCTCAGTTAATAACTCTGTGCTTCAAACTGCATGGGACTAATGTTTGCTCAATGCCAGAATTTTGGAGCTGTTGAGAGCACTAACTTTGGAGCAGTGGTGAGGCCATCAGAGCCTGTAACACTTGCCTTAGGATTTTCAGGTCTCCTTGGGAATAGTCATGTTGCCTTCTGACATTTGAAGTTGCTTCCACACCCTGACCAGTTGTCCGTGTTGCTTTAAACACACTGTAGAAAACAGTATTGGCTCACTCCACATCTGTGTCCTGTTCCAGGTACCTTGTGGCTGAGATCTGGTTATTTTTGTGGTCACCATTGCTGTTAGACATTGCTGCTGGGGATTTGTTTTTAAATAGCTCCTGTGTTTGAACTGGGGATTTGTTTTTAAATAGCTCCTGTGTTCAGAACTTGGTATGATGGGTACAAACAGGTTGTGTGAAAAAGTGACTCCTCATTGATACCAGGCAAATCTTGAAGTAACATTTGTCCAGAGTGTGAGACTGAATGTTTCCAAGAGAGGAGGATGCACAAGAGCTGTGCTGATTTCCAGCTGCCAAGCTAGTGCAGGGTTGTAAGGAACAAAGTCTATGAGCTGACAAAGAAGTAAAGGAAAAAATATAGAAACTGGAGTGATAGGAACAAGATTATATTCCCCTTTCTGGATGAATTGGAATAGCTTGAATGTGGGAATAGCTTGAATGTGATGCAATAGGTGACAAAGTCAAGGTAGGGAGTCAATAGGGACAATACAAAAGATGACTTTTCTGAGAAATCTTTGCAGTGTAACCATCAAGAAAAGTTTCCCTTTGAACTTTATGTTAAAAATGTACTTTCCTCTTTTTCTATTATAAGCTGCTGTTCCCTTTTAGGTACCTCATTAATCTTTCTGAATCCCAGACCACAGCAAGATCTGCATTTTGATTTATTTTTTTTTTAACTCCTTTTAAAGAGAAATACAATTTAATTGTTCAATCAGGTTGCTGCAAGGCAGGCATGTGACTCTCTTCTGTGAATGCCACACAGTTTCTCTCCCTGACAGCCTGATCCACAGGGATGATTTTTCAGTGGCAGCAGAAGGAGGGTGTCTTGTTAGGAAATCTTCCTGAAAAGATCTTCAAAGAAACATATGTATTGAAAAAGAACTTATAAAAGTTTGGCTCATGCCAACTTTTTGAAATAAGAATATATTTTAAATAGCCTTAAAATGTGTGAAGATCAGAGTGATGCTTTGTCATTAACCTCTTTCATTTGGATTGAAATAGTACAGTGCATAAAGCACACATTATCCCTCAGTGGGAGAAAGGGACCTGCTGTAAATGACTTAGGCATGGAGGGATTAATTCTGGTGTCTTATTTCCACTGAATCCAGAGGAGGAAGACTTAGGCCAAGTTTTTTTTCCCCTTGAAGTTGGACACACAAGTTGTTTGATGTTTGTCTTTAGAAAGAGGGGGGGAAAAAGCAAGTACACAACTGAAATATCTCTTAGACTAACATAGATGTGCTGCTGCAGGATGTTTCTGGAAGTACAATGTCGGAGTGGTTTCTTCTGGACAAAAGAAGTAATGATCATCATTCAGCTTCTTGTGTTTATTTCTTTGCTAAGAGCATGTCTAGGCCGTGTGCTGGCTGGGAAGCTTGTATTTTCCTAGTTTGAAGTGTCCCTGCTCATAGCTGGGGGGTTGGAACATGATGATCTTTAAGGTCTCTTCCAACCTTAACCATTCTATGATTCCAGATACATGGGGTGTTGCTTCGGAGTCCCTTGGCCTCAGGGAATTCCTGTAGCTCTATATTGTGCTCCTGGTATCCATGGTCTCAGTTTAGTTTCAGTAGAACTGAGAAAAGACATTTTTATACACTGTGAAAAATCTGAAGAGCCTCAAGAGTGCTGATCAGCGTGGAAAATGGCATCTGGCTGCTCCCTTATCTGTGCACAGGCAGGGCCTGGTAGTTCATATCAAGGTCAGTGTTGCTGGAGTTGTACATCTGGGCCATTTTTAAGAATGAAAATGTTAAGTGCTCACGAGCAGCTGTTGTTCCTGCGGATGTTAATGGGCTCTGCAGCTGCTCAGCACCTCTTCAGATTTGGGCTTGTTATTTCTTTCACCCTGGAAGTTCAGTGCACTTCAGCATTAATTAAACTTCTCAGTGTCTTTGCAGAGTGGGATTGGATTTGGATTGTATCTGTGCAAGCTGTAGTATGTGATGCATCTTCCTGGGAAAGACAGTCAGAATTACAGTCAGAATCCCAGAGTCAACTTTCAGTCTTCTTGTAGATCCCACTGACTGGAGTCTGAATACTTGATGTTGTTAATTGCACATACATGGGTGCTTGGGCACAATGTGCAGTGTCCCTTCAGGAGTCACTGTCTATAAGCACTTTGTCCTATTTAAAAGGACTGAAAATATTATTGTGTTGACATTGTGCTGGGGTGGTTTTTCTTTTAAATTGTCTTCTTGTTGTTTGTTTTTTGTGGTGGTGGTTTTTTTGGTTGGTGTTTTGTTGTTGTTTTTTTAGAAATGGTGTCCCCTCTGTTCCTGCTACTTGGGCATCTTGCAGAGGACTTTGTGCTTTTATTGTCACTGGAAGGTAGGACAGTGCTGCTTGTACAATCAACACTGGAAGAAGTGTAAGTGTCTTCACAGAGAAAGTCCTTCATAGAGCAAAGAGTGAAATCCATGCCCCAAAGCAGTGTTCCCCCAACACATTTTGTGTGCTGAACTGAAACAGAAAAAATTCTTTATTTCTTGATTAAGTGATTTAAGCAGTTTCAGACCGGAACATCCCTGTGATGCAGTACACTTCTTTTTCCTTTTGAAAAAAATGGTTGAGGTTTCTCAGCACAAGAAAGAAATAGACCTGTTGGAAAGGATCCAGAGAAGGGCCACCAAGATGATCCAAGGGCTGGAGCAGCTCTGCTCTGGAGATAGGCTGGGAGAGTTGGGGTGTTGAGCCTGGAGAAGAAAAGGCTCCAGGGAGACCTTAGAGCAGCTTCCAGTGCCTGAAGGGGCTCCAGGAAAGCTGGGGAGGGGCTTGGGAAAAGGGCTTGTAGTGAGAGGATAAGGAGGGATGGATTGAAACTGGAAGAGGGGGCATTAGGTTAGATATTAGGAAGAAATTCTTCACTCTAAGGGTGGTGAGGAACTGGAATGGATTGCCCAGGGAGGCTGTTGATGCCCCATCCCTGGAGATTTTTAAGGCCAGGTTGGAGGAGGTTTTGTGCAACCTGGTCTAGT